AAAAAAAGGGGGGGGGGGGGGGGGGGGGGGGGGGGGGGGGGAGGAAGGGGGAGCTTCTGGGAGTGTGATGCCTGGAAGCTCCTCTATTGATAGTCCTCCACACATCAATTTCTAACGACTCGTAGTGGTTATGGGTGGTCCTGGTCACGACCATGACCAGTCAGGCACTTGCATTGGCCCTGGTGCAATATGGATCCAATCTGGAGGTGGTAGCATAAAATGCAAAAAAGGCAAAGTCCCGGAGACCCGGGGCTTTGCCGTTTTTGCATTTTATGCTACCACCTCCAGATTGGATCCATAGGCGTCTTCTACTATGCAGACAGTCGACGCCATGAATGAAACAAACGACGCTTAGTGGGTTAAAGCGGCAATTTCTGACAGAATCATTTTCACTCCTTTTTTGGCATTCAGAACGCCATTTAGCGGAAATGGACCATAGTTCTATACTCAGTGCTCATGCCCCTATACCATGCAAAAAAATCATTTTTGAAAAGCGTCCCACGCCCTGAAAGACCTTCCTTGTTAGCGCCAAGATTGGCCCCAGAATAACGGCTAAAGAGCTCCACATAGGGACTCACGGAATGGAGTGGAGTGAGCGAGGTGCAAGTTTATCCGAGTTTCTTATGCCGTCCCACACTATCCACAGTGACTCGTAGTCCCTGATGCCCTTTCGTTTGTGATGGACGTGGGTGTCAACCGGTGGACAGTTACATAATAAAAACAGTCCTCAGCATCTTTAAAAGTTCTGGTTGGCTGCCCTTGCTGTTGTTCCGAAGTTCAACGTGGAATCGGACAATCGTCTCCTGCATGCTATATTTTGCTTTCCAATCAGAGAAAAGAGAGCTGCGGAGCTCTACAAGTTGTCAAAAGACATCCATTTCCGAAGACTACCCGGATGATACTCTTACGTCGAATCGGCGATCTAAAGGAGATCATCAACTAATGTCCGAACCTGTAAAGCGATGGAGTGAAGCAATACACGAAAATCAGATAGAGGGAAGAGAAGCAGACAGACCTAAGCCACCAAAAGTGGGCATGGGCAGTGCCCATCGGAGCTCGGCCAATTATAAGACCAAAATGAGCTCTTTTAGTCGTTCTGGTGGAAGAGTTACTGCATCTGGAAGGATTATGTTCGACAGCCTTGTCTACCTGCCTGCATAGCATCTCAGGCAAGTTGGATATACTGTTCTTTCAGTTGTGCCCTCTGAAATTCGACATTCCACCATGTTAATGAAGAATTGTATCTTGCTTGAGCGGGTTGAAAAAAAACATCTTAATAGTCTCCTTCCTGCCACTTATCGTCCTGAGTTTTTTCACACGGCACCTGTCGAAAATTATTGCAAATATCCACGTGGGAGAAAAATAGCAAGTCTGTGCTGCTGAACAAGAAATAAGATCTCGACGATATTGGCGACTGTCACCCAATCTGCTTGTTGCCTGCAATGTACAAACTTTCCACGCGCGTCATCGTCAACAGGATCAGTAGATTATTCGATGAAGAGCCGTCGTGCGAACAAGCAGGATTCCGGGGAAGGTTCAATACAATCGATCATGTCCACTCTCTTACGAAACTCACTGAAGTATCGCGAGAGTACAAAATGCCGTTATGTATCGCGACCATCCTTTGGCAGCCGCGTGTTCCCATTTAATATAAAGGGATGCCTCGTGAACTCTACGACAAGTTCACGACTAGGATTCCCATTCTACATACGAGGAAGTCACTGTGAAAATAAAGGGAAGAGTTCGGCAAGGCGGGATCATGTCGTCCAAATTTTAGTACTGCTCTCAACAACATGCGTCATTTATGATGGGGGGACTTGAGAGTGAAGGTCGAAGGCCGTCTCTCACATGAACTTCGCTCTGCAGTCGACATCGTCGTCACAACACCGAACATGGAGCAGGCGGAATGAATGCTGATCGGTTCGACAGCGCTTATGGAAAGATCTGCTCACGGCTGAGCCTAACGGAGACGATGTTCATGAGAAACGGATTGGTATCCGGATGGAGCGAAGAATTCATAAAGATCGGTGCTCGTTTTCATGTAACGAATAATGTTCACTCAAAAGCGCCAGAGCACAGTTGATTTTGCAGTTCATGCGCTTTGTTTGGTTCTGGGGTAATTGATCGTATTAGGGAACGACTTTGAGGCTTCTCGCAAGTTTTTCTGCTTATCTCAGATCGAGTGAACATCGTTTATAACAGACATTTTCACATTAAGCTAAAGTCAAGAAAGCAGCGATGATTTGCGGAGAACTGAGGATAGAAAGCTCGTTCGAGGACATTATCATAATTAAGGGATATAGAAAGGCGGCAGTTCCCATGAACGATCGAGTAAATCTGATCCTTCCATCGATAGTTTTCCCAGATATTTTTTAGTGGTTGTCGCTCGATATCACAACCATACGCCATTTCCTTGTGAAACTCCAGGTAGTGTACATATAAAAAAGATCGGTTTTGCGTCGTGCCTGAGAATTTCTTACTAGCTTCCATAATCCGACACCCATTTACGAGATTGCATGCGAATCCTCTTAGAACGATCTCTCGGGCTCATGGATGTAGCTGTTTTCAATCCCTCCCACGTCTAAAGCCACTATACAGCCGTTTTATTCTCTCTTAGTGTCTCCGGCCATGAGTATCACCTTCCTCACATAAAAATGTCGTTTAGAGCAGCGTTTTCTCTTTCCATGTCAATGTGATCTTTCTGCGCCATGGGTTTATGTCGCAGGTAATTCTTACGCGGTATCCCAAAATCTAAGCAAAACCATCTGAATGTTTCGTGTTTCCTGATCGCTTCTCAGGTGATCGTTATTGCAGCAAATGCTTGAGGACGTACTCTACGAAATTTTGCCAGTGGTTGGCTTTGCCTTGTCTGCCTCAAGTATTCTAATCCTGGTCGTCATGAGAAAAGCTACCGGCGCTTTTCAGTTTACCATTTGGTTCGGCTCTATTGGTTGGTTTTTTCTCGACTATTACGACGTTATATATCCCTATGTATGAGGGTGTGGTGCAGTAGGAACGAAATTGCCGCGACGCGGCGAGAGGGTCGGCCGCACGCGAAGGAATGCAGAGTATAGCAGAGGGTAAGAAATACGGGAACAAAAGAACTCACAAAGAATCATACCAAAAGTATTAATTGCATATTGATTGAGCCGTATGAAGAACCCTAGAACTGTTATAACGAGACAAACGGTCCGCGACAGCCGCGTGCGGCGAACCGATTACACAAAACCGTTCCTACTGCCCGTCTTCCGGGGAAATGTTAGCTGTGCCTCTATATTTTACGTCGCTCGCTTATCTCCTAGCTGTTAAAAGCAAACAGTTCACATTTCAGACCTCATCGCTGGTCTGGCAACCATTTACGCAGGTTTTTACGGAATTGTTACAACCGTTTACGGAAAAACTGGAGAGGTGCGAATTTCAAGTTGAAAAAACTAGCAGCGCTTGCAGGAAACCTAAGAAATAGGGTTCGATGTAGTTCTCCTTCGCTGTCAAGTAGTGAAGAGATGGGTCTTTAAAGGTAACGACGCCTATCAAATGCTTCTACGAAGCTCTTCATGTACCTGTGTGGCTATTTCTGGACATCTTCCACATGGCAGTCCTCTCACTATTCTGTTTGGATCGTCTTACTTTTATGGTCATTCCTGTTATCTACTCAAAGGTAAGACCAAAACGAGAACGTAATCGTGATATGATTTTGATTTTGACCAGGAATCTTCCTAGTAAAGGTTAGTTATCGCAATTGCATAATTCAAAAAATCCTTCACTGCTAATCTCTGATTATTTTAGCAATTTTTTTCCATCCACTTGAAGTTGTCGTGTTCTAGATTTCCCGCATTTACCTGAACTGGCCATTTATCTCCCTCCTCGGTCTAGCCAGCTCGATAATTATCATACCGGGGTTTTCATTTGCTATTGAGGTAATGATCGAAGGTAGATTAGATGAGGCATAAGTGGTAAGAAGCTTGCTCAGAATCTGTTTTCAGTCTCATAAAAATGCCTCCGTCGTAATCTCTGATCTCTGCCGTATGGATGCTGTGACCGGACAGAAGTACTATAAAAATCATTTAATGGCCATGCAGTGGATGCCGATAAGCGGTATGTTAGAAATTCTGCCTGTCTTGAGCTTTTTGATAGCCACAAAGCATGGGCCATCGAGGCAACTCAGCAATTTGGCTTTTGGCCCACAGGAACCCACTGTTGCTTGTTGTTCTACTGGGGTGTAAAGCAGGACGAGTTCTGGTAGACTGGGGATTAGTTTTTGAATAGAACTGAATGAGGGTGGAGAAGGGTAGATTGATTCAAAGTCGACGGAGCGCAAGGTTTCTATGCTTCGCGCAAGCAGCTGCCTCTATATCAATCGAGTCCAGGAACAGTACCCGCGTTGAGCATTTCCAGCGCGATGAAAACAGGACCATTTGTCGATTGGGCGCTCCATATTATCCAACTGGGTTCCTACGTACGCAGCTGCAACCTGTACTGCTATCCCATCTCAGGGGTGTACGTCGTATGCAAAGTCGAAAGTGGCGCACTAACACACGCCCATGATCCGGGAATCCAATATCAGGTCACTAGGCCAACCAAGTATTCGATCTCTTCATCTCTTTGGGGTGGGTCAATTGATACCAGACTCGTCTGGGGACAAAATAATTTAATTGTACATTGACTGATCACCGTATCTCGTTGTATAGATCAAATACGCATTCAAAACCTTTAACGATCCCGAATTGGAGTCGAATGCGAGGCGCATCCCAGAAAAAGGATTGAGCGGTGTCAATGAGTTTTCCCTTAGACAACGGGAGATAACACTGGGTTTCCAATATGAGAGTATCTTAAACAGAAGGGGTCTGTATGAACTCCATAACTCACTTGATCTGCTTTCGTACACTCGTACAAATCTCGGTCCGCTGGTTTTGGTATTTCTTTTAGTTTTTCGTCCATAGTCGCTCTCATTTTCCTATGGTGTTGCACTCTGTCTCCAAACGAAGGATGAAAGTCCGGATAGACCGCCACGGTTGCCTGGAAACTAATAGCTGGCCACTGGACAATTTCCACTAGTCGTGGGAGGGTCCTTTAATCCCGACCTGTAAAGAATCTAGGGCGCTGCTAATGCTTTCGACGAGTGCATCCTGACCCATCGCCGCAAGGAGGTGATGATTCCTAATATTTCTATTTCATTCAGGAGTGGCCTGTATCATACTGGCCTTGCTCATATATGGTATTCGAGGACTGAAGCAAAAGTGGCAATACAACTGGTCTGAAGAATCAGGGCACACTAAACAGGTACATACTTTCTAGAAAAAACTAAAAATAGGCATGAACCTGAGTCTTAAGCTCTTCATCTCTCCGTTCCTACGGTGTTTCCTAATGGGTGTTGCCGTGCATTTGCCGTTGATATTCGTTCAAAATTCTCCCGAGCGTACGCAATTGCAGGAATTTAGAGACGTGCTGATCAGGTTTGTGCTTTGGAAAGTTGGAAATTCTCCAAATACATTTTAGTTCTTTTCCTTTGCTATTAGCGACTGAATAATCGGCTGCGGAATAGGTGATTTTCGTCCTTATACACAGCGGACCGAAAAGTCCTGTAAGGCGGTGACGCCATATCCAGTGAGATGTTTACAAGTGCTTAGATTGTAAATATCATAAAACCAACAAGGGTGACCCCTATAGACCAAATCTTTCATGCTTTTTTTGACTTTTTTTTACCTATGGTCGAATTATTGAATTTGTGAAGTGATAGGAATCTTCGGAAGCTGCAAAACTTTGCAAGGGCACAAAAATGAATAGTGGAACTGGTTACGCTCTCTTCTGATATGAACTGAACAAATGGCGCTCAATTTTAGGTTACCTTTCTATTCTGTTGTGTCTGTTCTACAGCCATTATGGTACGTATTGGCAATGCCAGAGTTCTGCACCAATGCCAGCTTACTATTCAATCAGTATGGCCACGACACTGAAAGGAAATGGCAGAGCGCAGGTGATGATCAATCATCCTTCCCTTCATTCTTCTGCAGCACAGCATCCCTTTTCTTTGTGCATTTCTACACAACCACTGCTACTACTCCACATCACCGGTTACAAAGGTTACTTCGAACTCGACCTCAAAAATTAACATCAAATGGATTCTCTCTAATGTATTAATATGTTCCATAAATGTGTCGCTCGTGGATAACTCGTTGGAGAGCACATGTCGTGACACTGCTATCCTGCCTAAATGCGCTATCATCATCGCTGATATTTGTGAAAGTGCAGTAGTGTCCTTTGATTAAAGTGCACTAACACAGAAAAAATGTAAAGGGAAGTGTGTCGTTATTAATACAGAGTTTACAACTCGAAAACGTAACATGCGAGTAAGCTCTTCCATGAAATCGCTGCAGCCAACGCTTACAAGATGACTTCGATGTCAGCTTCGACAAAATTTTGCGCAGGTGGTCATAGGCAGGAGTATGGCCCAAATCAGGCGCTTTGTAACTTCGAACTTTATGGCTATTCTATTAGATTGATGCGTATTTATTAGGGATTTTTCCCAGCAAATTTTACTTATAGAAGCAATAAAAATATTTAGGAAAGACATGTTCAAATAATTACTCCAAAACTTATCCACTCATATCTAAGTTGAGCACTGCTTCCCATTTGCTAGGCAGTCGGATTCCACAGGCAAAAGAGTTTGGGTTCTTAGAGGCGATCCATGCCTTGACGTCGGCCGTCGAAAGTTCTGCTCGTTAGCCAATTTTTCAAAAGGCGACTAACCTGATAATCCATAGGAGATTCTGTTGGTGAATAGGGCGACCATAGAAGCAGACTCCATTCTTTATTCGGCTTTGGCTGACTGTTCCATCACCGAGGAGTTCGTTGAGATCACTTTATGACTGAGCCACCATCTAACCTTTCTCAAAGAAATAGAGCATAATGTGTATATGAAGACGATTTTCTAGACATATTCCTGTTAAGGAAAGCAAGAAGATCATTTATAGTAAATCCCGAAATAAATATTCAAATTGTATCGAGAGGAAAGAAGCCGCGAAAAAATCCGCAGCAATTATGCATCAACCTGTTATATTACTGGGTTCTATGAGACTATTAGTCTTTTGTGATTTGGGGACGATCCTCTCACAAACCTACATGCAATCATCTGATTGCTCTTGATCTTGACTTCACGATGCGCTATTTCTCATCTTCCTTACAAATTTCAGATGACCCTCCTCAAGGGAATGATCACGTGGACAGGTTTGGAGATCAGAATCCGTTCGGCTCATGGTACTCATCGGCGGGGAACGTGACCGGGGAAGCTGGCCTACCAGTGGGTAACGAAAGGAGCGTCAGCTTCTACTATGACAGACAATAATGGAGGTCAAAGTTGGAGATCTTTTGTTTGCTATGTAATCCTCATGTGTGTAGAAAAGCAGCTTTTCCTTATCTTCATTTTTCCTCAGCCTGTGTGTTTGCACTAGTATTTGAAACGCTTTAATTTACGAATGTCTTACATCATATCTTTTGTTTCTTAACTTGGTAATCCTCTTGCTTCTTCTGTCAGTAAATTTTTGACTAGAGCAGAAAGAAATAATTTCAAAGCAAATCCGTAGAGGTATGTTGTTTTTCGCTTTGATGCTTGTGAAACGTCAACAATTACGGTAACGTTGAGATGAACCCGAGGTTGCCACTCCCCATAATTCCCGTTATTCTCGCCTCATCTGACTGTCTCACACTGATTTCCATAGTGGAGCAGATTTCGTTTACCCGTTACCCTAATAACTAAAGTCTACCTTGAACTACTTCCAGTTTTAATCATTCTGCAGGAACGAAAATTAGGACAGTTTGGGACCAGGCATCCCTGCACACGCTATAGTTATATTGGCAGTGTTGCGCAAAACAGAAAGCACGTTTAACTGCAATATCCATCCGCAAAAGTACCAAGCCAGATAAGTTCTTATGAATTAGTACTAGACCCAGTCAATTAAAGGCTTCCTTTGCCTCAGCTTTCATTCTCGTCTATCACAACGGAGGCTAACAATCTCATATTTTTTAATCCACCCTGTGATCAAATAATTATCTGACACATATAGGCATACACATTCCATTCACATACACGCATATATGCATGTGCAAATATGCAAAAGCGTACGCGCAAGTACACAAATACAACCTATTATATTCATATCAACCTGTTACATCAACCTATTGTACTACTTGATGAAGTCAGCTTTTCCCGCAATTGCAACATATGAAATCTCGTCCGAATACTCTTCCCAGGCTGTTTCTGCTATGATAATCTCGTCCAACCTCTATTTCCCCATTTTTATAAATTCATAGTCTTCTCGGAACCGGTGAATCCTCTCACTTTCTTCACTACCGATAAACTATTCCCAATATACACTTCCGCTTTCGAGTAAAGAGTGGTACCCCAAAATTATCGTGAACTGCGCCTCTAAATGAGTGGTGTGGCAGGGAGAACGGGATAACTGATGGTGAGTATGTTCCGGAGCCCTACTTGCTCGCATGACTGTCTTTCATCCAGTATTCAGCCAATACTGTTGAGGATGACTGCTTTGGAGAGTTCATACTACAGTTACCAGGAAGTTTTGACCGATAGTTGCATATACTTTATAAAGCTCCCTTCTTGTAAAGTGAATCCCAAAGTTATTCGCAACATATTTCAAGCAGTTGAGTGAGAACGACAATGAAACCTATACAGATGCTCCTACTGTGTACAATAACAAGCTACAATCGAGTTCTAAACATCTTTCATGAGCACGGATGCAGGATCGTAGTTTGACCTCGTAATCCTCACACGCTACTCGCAGGTACGCTATCCCCATTATTTCCTAGCTGTTCTTCAGTTCCGCTTTCAAGGTCCTCAGGCTGGGATGACATTCTCGATAGAATTTCTTCTCAACTGCTTCCACACTTTGAAGTTATGTGGACCAAGATATGGCGAGCAGGAGGCCATAAGTCGGTGCCAATGTGATCGGGCAGAGCGTGCCAGCACCACTCTTGGGTGAGCGTGACGCAGTGGGTTGAGGTGCCGCCCTGCTGAGACCACCATGATTTGCCTTATGACAATTTTCGCGAGTACTAGCACTTTGGATACTTCTAACCAGAATGCGATCGTTTGTTTTTTAGGCTTGACTCTAACGAAATTTTTCGTCAGAGAACAACGACAGAGGGATTCGTGCCCTCATTGGAGCGGATCAGCAACCTTAAATACTTCTTGACCCCATACTGTACATTGAACACGGACCTTCTTCTTTGAGGGTTTCCTGTGTGATGGATAACTATCCAGTTGATGACGACGCCACGCTGTGCGACAAAGCGAGCTTGTTCAGGGGGTAGTCTTTCTGCGTTGGGTCGAATTATACGTTCGGTTTTCTCGCAGATGATCCACGACATCTACTTGGATCTCTCTGACAGCCACGTCTACCCGAGTACCTGCCATCTAAGGCTAGACGGATATATCATCCCTACAGTTACCCCTTCCGAAGTTCGACATGCCATCAAGTCATTGAAGATCTGTACGTCCCGATAGGATCAAGCTATAATATCGAAAAAGCCCTCCACCGGTTATCGCCAGACACTGTTTAGGCTCTTCCCGCGGTACCTGTCGGAATGCAAAATGTGCCCACATCGTGGAAAACTAGCAAGGCTATTTTTACGTATGATAAGGGAGATTCAGACGATCCATTTGGCAACTATTGCCCAATCTGCCTACTGCACTTCACGTTTTTCTCAAAGGTCTTTGAAAGGATCGATAGAGTACAGCCATGCGTGCAAGGGTTTCAGAGAAAGATTCTACGGCCGATCACATCCACACTATCACAAGAATCACTGAAGTATCGCGAGAGTACGGATGTCAGACCTTAATTAGTTTGAAGAAGGCCCTTGATATTCAGGGTTTTCCTGCTCAGTAATGAGCACGCTTCATGAACTCTACGATAAATTCGCGACCAGGATTCCTCCAAATTTGAAGAGGTCATTTTCAGGGAAAAGGTAGGGGGCGCAGGGAGATACCATCTCGCCAAAACTTTTCAGCCCCGCTCTCGAAAACATCATGCCCCATTTGGGATGAGAAGACTCGGGGGTGGAGGTTGAAGGCCGATACTTGCATCAATTCCGCTTCGCAGGCGACATCGTGCTCATAACACCGAACATTGAGCAGGCGGAAAGAATGCTGGCCGGGTATATCAGTGCTTGTGGAAAGATCAGCTCGAGACTGAAATTAATGCTGAACTTAATGAAAACGATGTTCATAAGAAACGTAGTGGCACCTGATGCTTCCTTAACGCTATACGGGACGAATATCTCTGAATGCTGTAGTCATGAGTGCCTAGCTCGTAAGTCAACATGATGAACGACCTAGCTCCAGAGATGAACGGAAGGAAGCACGGCGTGGTTAGCATATGAGAATAGCGATGGTGTAGTCAAGAAGACAAAGAACATCGGCTCTTTCGACACTGCGCTCCTTCCCGCTTGACGTACTTTTCGGAGAATTGCAGTCTACGAAAGCAGGAGAAACAGACATTTGGGTCATCCCGCAAGCTCTAGTAAGAGCGGTGCTCAGAGGTTCATCAAATATGCAAGTGCTGAAGGAAATCCGAAGTTCCGAGCTCCGTTAACGAATGATTGTTCGCCAAGAAATCGAAGATCAAGGGATTGGACACTTATGCAATGTAGTTATGACGTTGGACCAGAGCGGTTACTGACTGTATCATTTGGGACGTCTAACAAACACCAGGACGGCCGTCAGCGGAATGGACAGAATTCTTGATGCCATGATATGAACCTCGAGCGAGTGCGGTCTACCATACCACTCCGGCACGCGATAGGGACGAGTGGAGACGTTACTGGCGCCTGCTTGAGAAGATTGATGATCGACGGGACGATAGGCGATACAGGTGATAAGGAGCTTTGGACAGTGGAGTCACAGAATCTACTATGCCCTTCGTGTTAACCGTCGAACTCTGTCACTCTCATAGGTGATGTGTGGGGTAAGGGACCGTAGACGGTTAGTGACAGAGACCGATTGCGACAAGATAGCCCTGGATACTACTGAGTACCTAATTCTAATGGATGGTTGTTGTCAGTGTCAAGTGCAACAAATGAAAGTTTCGTAAGTGTAAGGATCCCGTGTCCAATGTATGGCGTTCGAGTGCCAGAAGTTCCGGAGTGATGTCGCGCCATCGACATGCTTGTCGTAATGAAATGAAAAAAAAACTTCTTCTTATCAAACTCTTACGGCGCAGAGGCATCAAAATTACGGTCTCGACAAAGAAATGATGTGCAAATGAAGGTGACATACGACATTAACACTGAATACAAGATTTATTACTTTGACGATCTGGGTCAGTTAAGGAAGGCCCAATGTCCAGATTACAACTTAACCACCACAACAAGAATTGATTATTCGTAGGAAACTTCAAAAAGAAAACATTATTATAACATGCATTCAAGAAAGTACAAAAAGGGGTCAACAATATTGAAGATCAGATATGAACACCATCCGCTGAAATATTCGGCATTAATCCGATTCACTCTTGGTTCGGTGTTCCTGAGATAGCCGAGAGATCGCCTTTGAGTATATCTGAGAACTTCTTCGCCGCCTCATATCTTAATCGTGATTATGATTAAGTATCTCCAAGAAAAGCACCACGACAGTAACATACATAAAATCAATTAAATGGAGTAAAAATACAAATGAAAATCAGGCAAACAATTTTTCAGATTCAAGTACAGGAATTAACCTTGAACTCGGTTCCATTGCGGCGAATTTAGGTTTCACAAGATTGGCAAATGTGGTCCATGAGAACGTTCCGTCTTCAATGTTCAAATCTTCTAGCTTCGACTCACGCTTGACGTTTGTAATCTGAAAGAAGTAGGAATATGAAACAAATGAACCACCTTCGGACTTAAGTGGGATCATATAGGATTTCAAGGCTCAAATAAGTTTTTGTAGGTGCCCCAGTAGAATATCAAGAAAAAACTTAACAGAACACTAATCACAACCTCATTCCAAGTCCCTTCAAACTCTTTACTTTTTATGAAGGTGACCCGCCGTATCTGCCTAAAATTTGAAGACGATTGCCAACTAATTCTAGCGATTCAAGTACCCATGAATCACAATATTTTGCCTCTTAGCTAAGCACGAAAATACTAGTAACGAAAAAAGCAGCCATGGTGGGTATAAAAACCCGAGTGAACAGAATAATTTGCACCTCATGTTTCCGCTCCCTTCGCTTGGCGTCCTTCCACGGAGGGAATGAAATACCGTGCTTCTTATTCGATGGAGGCTTGGCTAATAAGGATTCCTGAAAATATAGAATACAGCTTTAAAAAATCACATGATGTCCTCAGATAACAGCAAATATGTTAGCAATCAGAAAACTCTATTGATAGGATGTAACTCTAACAGTGTAGGAGGCAGTAACCATTTAAGATTTTGAAAAATTGTAGCAGCGTTTCAGACAGAGCCTCAAACGATGTTCCTTTACTAGCTCACTACTGCTCTCATAACAGAAAACAAGCGCGAAGAAGTGTTTTCGGCTCCCTCTTCCACCCCTTCCCTTTTTAAGAGTAGCTATGCACTACAGTGTTCCCACAGAAACACCATACTTATTATCTGAATCGGCCTGATTAATGCTGTAAAGCCGTCTAGAAAACCTGAGCCACCATTCCTATAATAATTACACTGCAAGAGTTTTGTTTGCGAACTCATTCAAAGTAACCATTTCATTATTGTTGTCATACATCGAAGACCTTATAGATCTGAAGAATTCCATAAAAACGATTGAAACTGTGTACATTATGTCCGCTTCGAATTTTTGTGCAGAATGGGTACTGATGATCAAAGCAAAAATTCTTCAATTCCAATCACCTGGAAATTGAGACTGTTAAAAAATTTTGCATTGATTTTACCAATTCCTAAGAGAGTGCACTATTGCTGGCATTCTGGTCACTACATAAACAATGCAGTGGAATTTAATCACATTTCGAATGGAAGTCAATGCGGAGACGCATTCCCGTCTGAGGCGTATCCCTCGGACGGGATTGATTAAGACTCAAAACTCTCACTTCAACTTATTTCATTCCACGACACAGCCTTCCGGGTGCACAAATCATTGGCTCACGAAAAAAGGACTTAGCGCGGGGCGACACTCGAAGCATTCAGCTTCAGCCTCTGCATCACAACTTGCCCAGGAACAAGACCCACAGCTGAATAAATGTAAAACCCGTATTCTCACACTGAATTTTCACTTCTGTCGATGTTTATGTGGAGTGTCTGCCTTCATACACGGCGCACAATATGGGAGAGAAAAAATGGCGCTGTCTCGACTTTCGATTTTTTCTTGTTCGAGCCAGCTCTTATGCTCCTAATACAAAAAGAAAAACTTTCAGATGAATAAAACATAAAAAGAGCTGAATTTGTCAGTCTCCCATGTATTACTGCTTACAGGATGTGCTTGAGTGCTCATCAGTAAAATAGCGATAGATAGACTGCTCGTAACTTCATCCCTTTTCCTGTTCTGGTACAAAAACCATCAGACCATGGCGATTCAGAATATAAACAAAAGTAATTGCCGAAACTTAAAGCCTTATAGAGGAAGCTCCAACCTAAACATTTACTACTTTTTCATCCCATCGGTAGGATCAGTGCCATGGACATCTGCTTTCAAAAATATCGACATGACAACCGTATACTCTGACAGTACACACAGAAATCACTCACCAATTTGCAATCCAGTCTGTCCAACTGCCAGTCCTCATTAGGTCCCATTCTGGTGCAAGTACCATCTGTCGGAAAGGGCACCAGGCGAGCGTAAGTCTCTTCATACGAACTGTTGAAAGAAGAACGCTTTAAAGAAGAATGACTCATAGAGCTACTACAATCGGTAGAAGGCATATGCCAATCAGCAAAGCAATGTATTGAAAGCTCTAAGGAATTTTCAAATTATCCAAACAATAAGGGAATGTTTCAGCGTTTCATCAACCGTTAGATAAGATGCAGCTTCGGATTTCCTAGTTGAATTGCCGTTCCCGAATTACCACGATCTCGAGAAGAAGAAGACATACAGCTAACGCATATCCACTTGTTTGGGTAAAAACTTCAGCATTGGCCAAACTATGAAGGGAGAGGGCAAGTACCATGAAAAGAGCTGAATTTTTCAGTTTGCCATGTATTACTGCAACATGCGAAATGGTTTAAGAAACTGTAGTTTGTTTTTTTTTCGGTAATCAACGTTTTTCCTTTGCCATTCTCGCTCAGTCGTATGTATCAGCCATACAACGGACCGAATCGTCGACAAGGAACCACATGTCCCGCACTGGTACATCATGCGATTAAGAGGTTGACTACGCAATCGAACTTTTATAAGATTCCGTTCTCAAACCGCGTAATTACATTAAAATCAATTATACAAGGAATCCTAGCACCAATTATATCCTGAGGTATCAGCTCAGGATGTATTTAGTTAAAGAACAAAGACAAACCTCTCAAAAACAAAAGATCCAGAGTAATTCGAAAGGGAAAGAAGAATTTCTTTTGCGACTTCCCGTTCGTCTTCATTCTCTAAAGAAAATATTCATCACCATTTTTGTAAACAAAAGCGTTAATCTTGTAAGACTTATTATAAAACCTGCTGCCAAGATGATCAACAAGCTCTTATCAACTTACGCTTCGGCTTTACCTCTTTTTTCCTATTCTGAAAATTTTAAGATTATCGCTATCCATCCCTCATCCAACAATTTAAACTTTGAAATACGGCTCCCCAGACCTAGTGTTTCCAAATGGGCATGATAACCGTGAACACATTTTGCCCACCTCAAAAGGCAACCGGCCTTTCAGGCGACTGCTGCTAAACTGATTCTTGGCAGCAGGTTCTATAACCCATTGGCGACCGCGCCTTTTATACTGTTCTTACATTAACTTTTAATTTCTCCTATAACTGTAGTTGGAAATAAATGATTCCTGGACCACAATGCCACAAGATTCTCTAAAAGGCTGTGAGTTCAGCTATTTGAAAACATGAAAAAATATTAAGAACATTGATGAATAATATAAATATTAAGGGAGCACGACATGTTGTGGTCCGCCGGCGGGCCACGCGGTCGCCAATGGGATAAAAATTCTTACAAAATTTATTCGAAGCTTCAGAAAAAGAGGTCACCATGAACAGACCCAACAAAACTTTTATCCGTTGGCAATCTAGCACTCCAAACGTGTTTGGCAGGCAAGAACGAGGGCGTCCCCTGGAGCTGCTGCCACACCATCCCATGAGAACCCCCATTTCCCTACACGCGATACATGGGAAATGTGATACATCATATAGAACAAGCAGTGCTACCTCATGCAGAGTAATGATGTTTTGTTACGTTCCACATACAACGAAACTTTCTGAAATTCCCTTTAAAAGGGCATAACCGTCTCAGTTAAACTAATCAAACGCTATGTGAGATGGAGCAGACACTATCACAAAAGGAGCACGAAAAGAATCTATTAATTATGTTGATATTTATCCTGTTTATGTAACACTTGCAAATGCCTTTGTTTTTTTTCCTCAAACAAAGTAGAAGAGAACATTTCTGAGCTAGGATTACTTATGGGGTTGTGAATTCGGTTTCTGAATGCTTTAAAAAAAGCGTTGAGCACGGAAATGCTGGTGTGCACTCGCTTTCAAACAACCGATGAGGTGGTGCCCGGCCGCTGGTCAAGCAATCGTCAATTTCAGAGCTCAACGACGTCGTTGCTTCAAACGATGCGCGACCGACAGCGTTGCTGCCCAGAAACGCTGTTCGGTTGCACGTCGGTTGAAACAACGCACATCCTGGAAGTCTGAGAGCACTCAATGGGCTAAATTGATTATTAGGGTCACCGCATTTCTACAAGAGCGTACTAATATTATTATCATTATTATTAATACTATTATTATTGTATTAGTACTTACCTAATGCAGCAACTGTGAAGGTGCTCGATTTTTTGTTTGTTAGAAAGCCAGCTTCCACACGGGCCTTTTTGCTTTTACGACTACGCTCACATCCATAAGGAGCCCAGTCGACAGGTAAACCATTTGGAACCACCATAGCATTTTCATCACAATCAACTTTCAAGGTCTTCCAAGCACCTAAAAAAATACAGTTCAAAGAACTCGCCAGTTAATACCTGTTGATTCACAATACCTACATGAACAAGGGTTCATATATAGACTCTTGCTCTCTTGAACCATCATCTGTGAGAGCGAATGCACTCTGCTCTAACCCTCTAACGCTTTATTGAGCTCCGCTCCATCAAAACTAGGTAATGGTTCTGTTGGCTTAATGGGGAAGAAGCACCGGGTGGATGAGGTTCTAACCGCATACAAAAATCCGGAAAGAAGCAGTAACTAACAGGTGGGGTACTACATCACAGAAGAGTTAGAAGGAGCAAATAAGAGGGCGATAGAGGGTGGAAACGCTAGCACAGTGCTCCTTCCCCAATAAGTTCTAACCGAAAGCATCCCTCAAGAAATTCATGACAACAACGAAACAATGCACTTTATTTGAAATCTTACAAAAAAAAAGTGCGCTTGTGAAAGGTTCAGAATTCCGTGAAACGCCGTCCAGGAATTCTGTTTTATTAAATGAAGCATAAAATAAGTGAACGGAAGGAAATGGTGCTGTGAATGCAGCAAAGTTCGAGAGGAAAAAATTCAGTTACACATCTCACCTTCAGGGCGATCGTCTCGAACACTATCCCATTCAAAACTGTCGTCAGAGAACGATAACGGTCTTTTCAGCGGTGGTTTAATTTCAGTTTCCATAATACCTAAGACTAGTACTTTGACAGAATTCATGGCAGCTTATCGTACTGTATAACGCATGTAAATGAAAAAAAAACAGTGCAGTCAAAATGCAGTCTACAAAGCAAACAAAGAAATTAGGGATTACGCCGATTCACAGCACTGCGGAGCTTTAATAAATGGATCGATGTCAGACCCGTTGGCATCCTGCCAACGCCGCAGTTTTTAGGCGTAAAATGAGGGGCAGCTTGGTAGTTGCAGATCTACTCGTTTACTTGG